GTCTTCTTCGGTTGTTGCTTGCGGCCACTTGTGGTGGTCGGTGCACTTTCCTCGGTGTTCTCATCAGTACTTGTCTTTCTCTTCTTTGGTCGTGGAATAGAGTTGTCATCACTATGTGAGTCGTGAGCACGAGACTCAGGGCTGCTGGTGGTACGGTGTGAGTGGTGAGAGGAAGCAGGCGACAAGCTGTGTGACTGTTCCTGTGAGAGAGACATGCGCTGTTGTCGTGGGGGTTGTTGAGTTTGTGGTGGTGGTGGTGACTGCCACCCTATTGCGAAATCATCACGCTGCTGTCCTTGATTCCGCCAGCCCAGCGGTGTATAAGCTTCAGAGCTTCCATTACCTTGGGGCTGTCCACCACCGCCATATGTAGTATTGAAGTCGAACAAGGAATCGCTATCCTTGCCGAAAGAGTATGTTCCCTCCAGCGCGGTCTGAGTTGTAGGGTCGATGAGCGAATTGCTCGGTGAGATAGTAGCTTGTTGATTGTTTGAAAAGGTGTAACGTCCTGGAGAGTTGTCGTCCTCAATCTTGATATAATCGCTTAATGGGCTTGCTTGCTGTTGCTGCTGGTTTTGTTGCTGCGATGAATCTGCTGGGGGCATGAGGGCGTCCCAAGACTGAGCGGCTAAAATACCAGAATCGTCAATGGGGGAGAAGAATGTTTGGTCGTTTGGGTTCCACGCAGCGGTGACGTCGTAATCAAAACGAAGAGACTCTGGTGAGTGAGAGGTAGCCGAGCCAGACGATAGACCTGGGGGAGAGGAAGATGAATTCCTATTATCCAAGAAAGATGTGTCTAGTATGCTGGCAGGGGATGCAGAAGCAGAGAGGGTGTGGTGTGAGGAATTAGAGCTGTTAATGTTGTTCGAATTTGAATTGTCGGAGCTGGTGTTGAGATCAGCGTCGAACCTCGCCAGAAACTGGGCGCAAGTATCGTAGTCTAGTTCCATCCCTTCGGAGGATGTCGTGGTGTCTTTTGAGCAGCAGGAAGAGGGTAGAAAGTGAGGAGACGAGGAGGAGATGGTATATTTCGTGTTGGCGATGCAGGGCACAGATGGGGGGGTGGTGGTGGGAGGGGGGTGGGGGTGAGGTAGAGGTGGACTGATGTTGGTGATAGTAGTTTTATTGGAATATAGGTGGCGCTAATCCGAGGGATGACTGGTACTGGGCTTGCAGGAAATGGTAGGAACGGTCAAAACGGTAGGAAGTTTTAGAAGGGGGATCTGGTGAGGGGGGGAAAGTGAGAGCGAATTGACAACGAGATGGGGAAGAAAAGATGGGCCGATGAGTGGGCTGATGATTGCCTGATGTTTGAGGGCGCATGAGGTGCCACTGCCTAATGCAGTAATAGCATGCAATAAATCCTCCAGGAATGGAAGATTGCGGGAAGAGGGTGCTCCGATTAAAAACGCAGCCAAGCCCTGTCAATTCCGAACAGGGAAGGGTAAGCTCGACTGTTAATTGGATAAACTGACTGACGAGAATATCTAACAGCCTTGTAAACCATCCCACCTGTCGTTGAATTGCTGGTTCCAACGATTCAATATCTCATGTTATTAAATAATAATCTTTCCACTTTTAATTCTCCCCAGCTCAAGATCTACAGAGGCTCTCATCATCCGGAAAGAAAGAGAAAAAGGCTAATCCCATCTATAGAAGCTCAGTGCACTTCTTCTCTACATATCTAAGTACTCGTCTGCCCTCGATTGCGACAAGAAATGGATCTTGTCAGACAGTCAGAACTTGCGTCCCTGGACTGACCCTCGTACGTGTTTTGTGATCTCCAAGGATGGACCGGGTTAATCATGTACGCCTCGCGGGGGATACCTTGATCTTGGTCTCGGTGGTTCGTAGTGCAGAGGAAGATACTTACCTACTTGCCTATATCTATTGCAATACGTAACAGTCATAGTTTTATTTTGACATCTTCCATCTCCAACCTGAGCTTGGTCCGTTCAAATACTCTTACCCACTGGTCATATTGCCAAAGTTCTAAAAGCTACATGTACTTCTTTTTTCTCTGTGGCGCTTGGCAAGGTGGTGTACCACCACCTGGCACCTACGATACCTGAGATTCCTGTGACGAAGAGTGTATTTGCGTGAATTTAAAAATAAAAATGATTTTCTTTTCGATGCTCGACTTATCTAATGCCATAATAACAGCAACTAGCCATTCTTAAAATCTCCTTTTACAAACATTCATAAGGACCAGCAATTAATCCGCGGCCTATTTACGAAGATTACCTGCCTCCATGCCAATCAGAAGGACCTACTGTCACTACATGTATCCTCCCAACACTAATTTCTTTTGCGTGAGATCACAACCAGTGGCTTACATGCAGACAAATCATGTATGTACATAAGTCTCTGAAACCGGAATCCCACTGAGACTGGAATCCCACTGAGACTGAACATCCAATCGACCCAATAACGATACATCGTCCTGGGCTTAAAATTACCACAAATGCACTTGGCGTCAATTTACAACCAATCCGGACAAGTCACCGAGTCAACAAATTCGATATATCAGATTACAATGTATCCCAAGATACGACTGCTCGTGAAAAATCAATAACTACACTCATGTTCATGTACTTATCCCGGGCTCAGGTTCAGCTAACCACCTCAAGATTTTCAGCTTCCGCCATAAGCCCCCGTTTAACCCCAACAATCCCCGTACCAGATCATCTCAGAAACCACGTGGTATTCGATCAATGTCTTTCCACATTTTCTCGTATGATGCCGAGTCACAGCTAGCTCACGACTATGGCCAGGAAAGAAAAATAACGGTGACCGGGCCCGGTTTCAGGGATCGACATACGATTCCACCTGCTTGTCATATCATATTTCAAGCTCTGTAACCGGCCCGTGTGTTACCAATTAGATGAGAGGCATAAGGAGGAGCTAAATAAAGGGGGGGCTTTGTCTTTTAAGGTACCGAATATATGGGCACAGCAAGCGGGCGAGACCCCGTCACATGGGAGCCCCTGGGTCTTGGAATCATGATCGTGGGGGAGAACAAAAAGTAGTCTTCTTGCTCTGTTACGATGGAAGAGTGGACTGTTCATGCGTCGCTTGCCAACTAGATTGAAAAGGACTTCGATCATGAATAATCACTCGGCTTATCTACACCCACACTAGCAGTCCCGACTCAAAGCACACACCAAGATGGCACCTCTGATACAGTTTCCCGTTATTTCACGTATTATCACAACATGAGGGAGGTTCTAAAGCAAGAGTTTAGCAGCATGTCTGCCTATTTGTACGGTCTGTTATATATGCTGGTGGAAAAGATCCTACCCTTTACGAGGTACATTTCGTCAAATTGATCCCCTATTTACTACTAATAGAAAGGAATAAGAGAGACTCTAATTTATCCATATGTTGCTCGCCAATGCACTCACTCAATGCGATTTAGGACTTAACGATTCGGTCAAGAATATACACTGCAAACAAACCCATAGGAGAAAACGTATTAGCACCAACGTCGAAGATCCCTATCGGAGCTTTCGAGCTAGGCGGACGCGCATCTTGAATTGTTGGTCTAACTTCATCAGTATCTACCAAAGACTTCGATTCAAGGGTCTATCGTTCGGATAGCGGGCTGTATGTTATGTGCGAGATGCAACTCAATTCTAGCCAATAAAGATGTTTTTTTCTTTGTAATTCTAGAGCCTTGAATTATATTCAATTGAGGAACATGGGCGAACATGGGCGAATATGCGAACTATTGAAGTATGGGTAACCAAATTGGAGTAACACATCAGTAAAATCAAATTGACCAAGAGCTGAACTTTTGATTAACGCAGCCCTTATCAACGAGACTTCTTACATATAATATTATATTTCTGAGAATCGTAAACTTAGTGTTCTAAATCATCTCTACATATATCCCTTGAACTAAAATGAGTGAACAAACTATTGATCAACAGCCCATTGTCGAAAATATAATGCGTTTAATTGATTCCCGGAGCCCATAGCAATGGTAGCGGCCTTTGGCATAAAGTATTGGGATTTACGCCTTTTCTTTCTTTCTTTCTTTACACATCTAAGCCGACACTCCAATCTCTTGATTTCTATACTAATGCTTCAACACCATGCATGGCTAATGGTAACCCCCCGATCTAGCGGTGCTCAGGGCCTGGGATTCGCCATGGTGGGGCATTCGATTATACGTACTCTTCCATAGGTACATGTATATACGGAAAATTTTCACGACAAGTCCGCACAACTAAGATAAAACAGACAAAAGGGATTATTAGAACGAGCTTGAATTAGGAATATTGTGTAATCATGTAAGAGAGGATTTCGTCGACCAATAAAGCAGTTTCTTAAGGTTTTAATTGGTAAACCCTCTACCAAAAAATACATACTACTACGCGTAAGACTGCAGCTGTCTAATCACATAATATCACTCGATCGAGACCATGTGAGTGGACATGAATGTCAGAATCCGACGGCCAAGCTCAAATGTCTTTAAGCAGCTTGTGTAATCTCGCTCCCCTTATACCCATCTAAGAACTGATGGGTACTTACGTGGCGACCATATATTTATGCACTCGTATTGCAACCACCCGTTATTCTACCTGTCCCTTTCCTTGTCAATGATCAACTAACACCTTACAGCTACTTTTTAAGCTAACGGTTTGTGATTAGCGCCATCAGATTCTATATTTAGCTTTTTAAGCCGCCTTCTAATATTTCCACCGGAGTTGCTATCTAATGCCTATTGCTTTGCCCGTTTACTTGCACCGTCTTCAGAGTAGTCCACTGAGCTGAATTACATTTTTTCTCGAATGCCGAGTAGCAGGTCTCTCCCGGGATGAAATATACACGCAGTGCACATGTCAGCATCATATACACGTAAAGACGTTTAGGGGCTTGGCGTTCCGTGCAAGCGGATTCCAACGCGTCTCCTCAACTCCAGCCTCCTGTTCCCCCTTACCCCCCGCGTTTCCCCTCATCATCCCCGCCTGCCACACGACGTTTCTCACAAAATGGACGACGATAATGTTCCGGCACCGATTGTCTTCAAGGCCACATACAGTGGTACTCCGGTGTGAGTTCTCCTCTTTTCTTTGCTGACTCTTACTCGGCAGGAGCACTCAATGAGTATACCCGGAGTAATTAATCCAGCCTTCTCAATAAAACTCTACTGTGTCGCTGATATCGACGGGGGCACATAGGGGTTTTCCTGATTTGCCTGCTGATATCTAACTTATCAAGTCATCTTTGCTAATTATCGTGAGTGCTGTTATAGTTATGAATAGTATGTTCCCTGGTTACACATCGATGCTTCTCTTTAAATCCCATCGGTTGCTAATGCGCAGCTTAAAGTATTGCAAAGGGAATCGCTTGCATGCGTAGACGTTCTGACTCATGGGTGAATGCTACACAAGTATTGAAGGTCTGCTTCCCTCTGGGTGCTGGTGATTTAAAGACAAGACCCCTAATTTTTTCTTCTTCTTCGTTTAGGTCGCCGAGTTCGATAAACCACAGAGAACACGAATTTTGGAGCGGGAAGTCCAACGAGGAGTTCATGAAAAGGTACAGGGTGGTTATGGAAAATATCAAGGTGAGTGACTCTTGAGGGTTAGGGGTATTTCGAAGATTTAAATCTTCCGGAATCAATTCTGTTGATCATAAAATAACATGCTCTGGTATAGGGACCTGGGTGCCTTTGGAACGAGCAAAGGAGATTGCAGCCCTCTACAATGTTGGCGAACTACTCAAACCTATCTTCGAATTCCGACCCTCTACCGAATCACCCCCTCTAGCGCCCAAGCATGTTACTGCGGCATCTACAAAGCCAAGGCCTGCTCGAGCGCCAGCAAGAAACGCTGCGGCTGCGGCGCCTGCTAAACGTGCAGTTAGTAAGTTTTAGTTTCCTTGGTTTTTTCAGCATGGTACTGGGGAATTAAACCTTAATTTCTTTGTTGAAATAGAACCCCCTCCGCCACCGGTACCAGTACCAGCGCCGCCATCTCATGTCAGCTCCGAAGAAGATGAAATTGAAGAAGATGATTTAAGCGATATTGATCCCCTCAATGACCCTAGCTCACCTTCTATACAATCATCTTCTGCATCCGAGGGAGATCTTTCTGAATTGGAACTGGACGATCCGTCTCAGCACTCCCTAAATACAACCTTGAAGAGAAAACGAGAACATATGGACCATGAGATAATGTCTTCGCCAGGCTTGATCCACTCTTCACAGCAGAGAAGAATGGCATATAGCGACGAACTTCTTGACTACTTCATGGCGAACGAGAAAGGCCTTCCGGACTTTCTCATTAACCCGCCTCCTGACTTTGATGTAAATGAGATCATCGACGATGAGGGTCACACTGCATTTCATTGGGCTGCAGCAATGGGAGATTTACGAGTGATAGAATTACTATACAAGGCTAATGCGAACATTTACATGGTCAACAAACGTGGAGAGACCCCACTTATACGTGCAGTACTCTTTACCAACAATTACGACCAAAAGTCGTTTCCTCGGCTAGTCGAAACTCTGCGAGACACAATATTTCATGTAGATAACTACAATTCAACAGTTTTCCATCACATAGCGGCAACGACATCCTCGCGAAATAAACTTCTAGCAGCGAGATATTACTACGACGTTTTACTTCAAAAACTTGGAGAGAAACACTCAATGGCCGAGATCGCAAGAGTGTTGGATTTGAGAGACACCCCGGGCGACACAGCTCTCACGATCGCGGCTCGCAACGGTGCAAAAAAATGTGTTAGAAGCTTGCTCGCTCACAACGCTAACCCAAACATTGCAAACAATGAAGGCCAGACGGCCGATCAGTATATTGTGGCAGTTGAGCGCCAAAGACGGAACGGCGATTACCCCTTAGCATCGAGTTCATCGCCTTTCCAATCGCATGATAACCACATGCACCATCAGCACCACAACCCCCGTTATCAGAGACATCCATCCACACAATCAGCCGCAACTGTTGCGGCAGTTAATTATGCCAATGCTAGCCATGTGCCCCGGCCTCATATCTCCGAGGCGGCGATATCGGCAACCAAGAAGATTATACCACAGATGGCGGAGATGCTCGAAGGGCTTGCAACAGCGTTCGATAACGAGCTGCAAGACAAGGAAGAAGATGTCAGTCAAGCACAACGGTTACTCGACAGCTCAACACACGAGATCCAAGCCTGCAAGGCAACCTCCGAAGAGACACTGGCTCCCTTTGGTGATGTTGCTACCATGGAACATCAAATTGACTTGCTCAAGGCCGAAGCGGAGAATCTCGCAGAGGAACTTAAGAAAATATTTGAACGCGGCCAGTATTACGAGCTCTCGAACCTAGTTCGCCAAGAGGAGCAACAGATTGAGGATGACAAGGAGCCACTTGCAAATGCTGACGATCCAGACAACTTAATGGAGAAGTTGGAAGCTGCACGTCAGCTAGCACAGGCTCAACGTGAAAGAGAAGAATTGAGAGAGATAATCATAAAAGCCCACGCAAGGAGTGGGGCAGGTGAAAAAATGAGCGATTACAGGCGGTTGATAGCACTGAGCTGCTCGTTACTCACAGAAGACGTAGAAGACTTATTACCGGAGATATTGAAGGACTTAGAGGCAGGGGGAGATGGGGATATCAGAGATGGGCTCATGATATGAATTTTTCTCTTGCTAGAGGCTGTGCCTTTTGACGTTTTTCATTTATTTTGTATTTATTTTCTGTGCTTTGCAGTTTGCTCGCTCTACTTTGCTATATTTGTGGTTTTCCCCCAGTTTTTCGCTGAGGCTATCATTGGTGTTAGGGATTTGCTGAGTGTATAGTATTCGCATTCTTGCTAAGCATTCTGACTTTTTTTTAGTTTTTGAACTTTTAACCCTTCTTTCCTGGGTTGTGTATGATACCTCGGCAGGGCTGCTTTGTAGTAGTAATAGGGCGTGTGCTAATATGGTTCTCTATTATAAACATCTTTTCCCTTCTTTTAAGTTGGTAATTTCACGCTGAATAAGGTTATGGATGCAGATCAAGCTGGGGGGTGCCATAATAACATACCCGGCGGGTAGGGCCGGGATAATGATTCACTGTATTATTTCATAGCTAACTACATGTAGCCCCTTGCGGAAATAGGAACATGTTTTTTTGATCACTGCTTTGGCTAATGGATGAGATTAATGGGATATGGTAAATTAACATAATTATCAGGATTGAGAGGTCGCAGTTGCCAGTGCAAGAAAGTTGAGGTATTCCAAGCCCCTTCAAAGCTGGTAACTCGTTACACATTATATTTGTTTCCTAAGGGTCACCTTGAGCTGTCTCATGAACAATTGCAACGGAACTTTGGGGTTTTCCTATCTAAGTATCTATCTATCTTTGTCGTAGTTTACGAAACTGCATAGACGTTTTATCCTAATCTCGCGAAAAGTATTAGTGGGAAATAATGTAAAATCAATCATTTCCATACCCCTAAACACCGTGGTCCCCTAGAAATGGCAACCATCGAATGAGAACATATTCTCCTCTGCTGGTTATATATGTGAACTGGTTGGGCTCTTTTGTATGATACTAGTAGGCAACATATATCACTAAGAACTCCAAGTGAAGAGTCTTTTTATTGACCGTAGTTTATAGCGCCCACTAGAACCTGTATTTATCACAAATAGGATCGAAAGAGCACACGGATACAGCTAAAAAGTAAACGTGCGTGCCTCTCAATATAGCGACTCTATGTGGTAAAAATGGGTGCGTAATGGTAGTGCTTAGCCATACATGCTTCTAGAACTCCATTCGATACGTCTACATAAGTACATGTAAGTTATTAACCAAGACAGACGCAGATAGTACACATATGTGACTATCCAGTCAAACAAGTAGCTGAGATTTCCAGCGCTTGTTCGTTTCGCAAGTCTTAACAACGGTTTTGACGTCTTATCCCAGCGTTTGGCGCGGTGGGCCCCGCCTGCAATTGAAAGTCAACACCACGCGGACCAAGACATAGGCCCAGGCCCAAACCTAAACCTAAACTCAAATCTAAGCCTAGAATCAAAACCAAAACCAACCCAGAGTTATCTTCTCGAGGAACCACACTTAATCACAAACTTTTAAATATGTCCTCCCTCATTAGGACGATCGAAATTGACAGCGAGTATTACGATGATGATTCCAACGATGTCCCCGATTCGGAGGAGTTGCTCGCCAGGAGCACGGCCAGCAGGGTGGATAACTCGCACAATTCCCTCACTGATGGTATGTAGGCCCACTTCGTACCCACGCACATCTAACGTTTAACTAACAGCCTTAGAAATCACGGCGTTGGATGATAAAATGGAGGAAATGTTTCGGACTTGCACCAGCAACAAGGCGGAGCTCAAGGCATTGAACATGCTTCAAAAGGCCGCTGAGAAACGACATGCAACTTCCTTAACGGACTACGGAAAGATGGTAAAGCAGAAGCAAAGGTTAGAGGCGCAGCTTCTCAAGCAGAAACATGAAGCCGCAGTCATCAAAAAGGAGAACAGTGTCCGGAAGACTTTAAAAAGAACTAGGAACAGATCTTTAAAGGTAGTTGCTCAGAACGAGAAAAAAAACTTCAAAAAGTGAACTTACTAATCCTCATGGTGCGAAGTCCGAAACCTCCGGTTACTCTGGCTCAGATTCCGGGGTTTTTCTTCCTCAGAATGCGGTCAAGGCCATAAGGTCTATGCCTCCCCCGAGCCCGCTCAAGCCTTATAAATCTATGCCTCCTCCAAGCTCGGTCAAGACTAATAAGTCCATGCCTCCTCCGAGCTCGGTCAAGACCATTAAGTCCATTCCTTCTTCGACCCCGGCCAAGACCATTAAACCTATGCTTCTTGAGAGCGCAGTCAAAGCCAGTAGACCGATACCTACTCCAAGCCCGGCCACGGTCAAGGCCACCAAGTCTATACCTCCTTCCACCCCGAGCAAGGCTATTAAATCCATACCTACTCGGAGCGTAGCTAAGGCCGCCAGGTCTACGCCGTCTCTAGCTCAGGCTAAAACCAATAGATCTACGCCATTTCCGATTGAGGTCCAGATTAAACCTATGATTCGACCCTTCCGTCGCGAAGAGTATACCCGCCTCTCTGAAAGTAGCGCAACCCCTGGACCCCTCAAATCTGCATAATCTGAGCCAGATTCTTGTGATCAATGGCCGGTGTGACCAATAAATCAAACGCAAAAGAACAAAAACTAACTATCAAATCAATCATTCCTTCCAGGTCCTCCCGCCAAACGCATCAAACACCAGCAATTTAATAAAAAGCCGACACCACCTAAGGCCACGTATGCGCAAGTCATAGCCGAAATCAACGGTGACGACGACTACGAAGAGTCTCATACTTCTGCTGGGACTAAGAGGTTTCGTTTGGGCCGGCCCAAGATAATTGCCAAACAGCCTTTTGATGGAAAGATCGGGTCTGGGTCCTCCTTGGCTCGTAATGCCCTATGATACTGCCATTAAGAAGGAGAAATAGTCACTCTTGAACGTTTTTTCCTTTCTTATTTCTCGGAGATTTTCTTTTCTTTTTTATTCTGGATTTGGGTTTTTCTGTGTGTCCTCATGGCTTAGGGGGATCTATGGGATCTAGCGTAATGCTAATGGATATGCAGCGGGAATATCTATATTTCCTTTTACTTGTATTGACATATTCTAGATAGTCGAATAGTATTGAAAATACAAGTTTGGTATTCGTGCGCTTCTTCTCTCTGCCTTAGCGGATTCCCCATCTTACGACATATCGTTATTGTCTTGGCTCAATCATGAAATATCACTCGCATATCACCTACTTGCAGTGAAATCCCAATTGCGCTGGCAAACACCCCGCAAACAATATTCAATATTCAGAGTTTCATTAATAGCTCTCTATAGAAAGCAAACAGCTCAGACCATACCGATATACCTCACGAGACGCCTCGAGGAGTTGTATAAAGCCGCCTCTACCGACGCAAATAGTCTAGTTTAAGTGGCTAAATCACCTAAATATCCCTTCATGTTCCGCATGCGACAATCCTGCCCCTAGTCTCACTCTAAAAGAGCAAACTCGAACCTACAAGACTAGACTTCCCATCGCACAAGTCATCTCAAGACCATTTTTGATCCTACTCCAACCTCTCCCTAGCCTGTGAAGAATGACAACCACACTATAAGCACTGATAAAAGTATTGCATATCTGGTTAACCATTTATCGACTTGAATCTAGGCTTGATAAAAAAGCTTTACTGACTTTTCCCTATACTGTGCAGCTATCTAGATAAAGCTACTCACATAACTCTTCATTCTGTGATCCTGATTGTTGAGACTTGCATTGATTAACAGGCTTAATAGAGTCTTGTATACTAGAAGCTCATTCACTCTTATAATATTCTATCTCTCGAGAGAAGAAACGGAAAAATCCATATATTATAAGTTTAGGCTCATAAAATAAGATGAGATAAACTCAACACTCTCATAGGGCAGGATATTGTTAGCCCATGCTTTGGGATTGTTGTGAACATGTCCATAGGGAACACAGTGTTTGTAGGAGGTATATTTTGTAGATTATGCTGGTTCCGGTTTTTGGTTAACCCCAATCTAGAGTACGGATGGGTATGAATATGGAAGAATACAATCATGAAATATCACTCGTATTCGGTTTAGTGTTGGTATTGCATATTTGGCTTTTCAAATGATGTCGAACCCGTGCGGGTGAGCTGTCCGAACCTGAAATGTTGACAACTGTCACTGTCATGTCATGTCATCGACACTTGTTCGATCCGTGACTATAGCTAGCTAGACTCCTTGTCGAGATAAGCATCAAGTCACAACTCCCTCGTTCTGCTTTTCCAACTGGAACCACACCCTCACTGATGTGATAAGAGGGAGTCAAAGATAATTTGGATATCTGAATATACTACAGATCAAACCCCTTACGGACTCCCAATAGATACTCTGGATATGTCCCGCTTCGGCTCAGCTGTTAGATCACGCCCTGAAGCGTAGAATGTTTTACTAAGGGAACGTTTCTGCTGAGATCCTCGAGGGAATGGTGACAGGTATATACATCTCACATGTCCCGTTTGAAAACAGTGACTGTCTATAGGTCTAAGATTGCACACCTTTCAATTGCACGCTATACACACTATCATCAACCCACACTCACCCAACAAACCAAATTCAAACATCAGTACTCAAAAGTTTCGCCAGTTTCACATATCACCCCATAAGACCAGCACAAGCAAACAGACGAACAAACGATAACCACATACCCGTACATACATTAGCAGCTTGCCCCCAAAATTACCTATCTCCAAAACACCGTCCCGGGTGACTAGCTGGCTAGCTCTCGTGTAATGCTACGTGTGTAAGTACATACACTGTGTAGCTATACCCTACTAACCTTAAAAACTATTTGTCATAGATTCGCGGGATACCATGCATGCCCGATCTACCTCGTAACGATCTCCCTATCTCCTAAACATACCACTCTAGTGATCCCAAACCCCCTCAAAAAGACAATCATAGGTCGGACGCAAATGACCACATACATCTCATCTAGCTCTGTACCCCCCAAACGACATACGATGAGGTGAATACTACTGCCCACGAATTGACTAATTATAACCCGCCTCTCTAGCAGGCCGTCGTCATTACTACCACAAAGTCAGGCCACCAGAAGGAAGGCCTAAGGCCCCGTGCTTACGACTAGCCATCCAGGCCGCCTATCGATCATGCCCATGGCCATTAACCAAGCAGAGGACGAATACCCGTCTTCGGATGGCCATTGGATGCATGCAGCCAAACCCCAGATCCGATGATGGTGATGGGAGGGTCTTCGCCGATGTTGCACAGGTGCGTTTCGCTTACATGACCGCAAGCTGGGCAGAAAGCCTCTCCCGTGAGCCGTGGGTGGGTGATGACTGTGGTAGTGGTGGTGGTGGTGGTGGTGGTGGTGGTGGTGCGTTACGCTCGGTTTTGTTGCGTTACGTGAATGTGAAAACCTTAATCCATCTGACAGTTGGTTGCAGCAACAGCAGCAGTGCAACGTGACAGGGCTAACTAATCCAGCCAATCCAGTTGATCAGTCACACAGCGACGGTAGAGGTCTGGTGGATAACTTTGATATTGCTTTCACCCCAGCCCCCCCCCCCCCCCCCCCCGCGGGAGAAAAAACTTTACTTTAATGCAGATTAAGGGATCTACAGCAGCACGTTTTGTTACACACCCACGTTTTTTGTGAGCTTGTCACGGTGACGGCGGTAGTAACGGTGACGGATACACAGTGAGTGATGGCTGATCCCGCGCATATCATTACCCATCACTCGGCGGCGAAGCGTCTCGCGCGCGCGCCACTTGCCCGTTTCGAAATTTCCCCACACCATACACGGCGCATAATCTTTTGCCTTAATAATATTAAAATGTGAAACATTTTTCTCTTTTTTTTTTTTCCCTCCCAATTTTTGCGGAGGGAAAAAAGAAGGAAAAAAGAATTCTCCGCATGCGTGTCCCGCTGCCGTTTCTTATCATTTTTATCTTGTCTATCATCTATCCTATCTTATCGATTAGCTAGGGAAGGTATCATATATCCGGATGGGCATAGATAAATAAAAAAAGATTCGAATTTACCCAAACGACATCACCTTCTCTCCCCAGCCCTCGCAGCTGTAGGCATGAATGTAGGCACTGTAAATTAACTACAGCAGTCTTCCTCGTTTCCCTGGACTGGCTGCCTGGCTAACTGGGGAGGTATAGTACATGTAGGCAGAGAACCACAGATGGATCCACGAACCTCACCGCTAGCTAGAGTAGAGTAGAGTACTCCTCCCTCCCTCCCGCTCCCGCTCCCGGACCCTTCCCGCCGCTCTAAACTCGCAGAGTAACTCAAGTTGTAAGGTATCGCAGGTGCAATTACTGCTCGGCTTACCCTAATCGCACTCTCTCACGTATTTACCAGGGATGGGATGGGATGGGTTGGGAATCGGGATGGGTTGGGGGACGAACACTAGCACGTCACTTTCGGTGCCGCGTGACAGGCAAGTCCCTGCATACAGCGCTCGCTCGGTACCGCCGCGTGCAACACGCTGTTTTTGGGTGTTTTCTGCCTGTTTGTGTAGTGTCCTATTTTTTTCTGCCTGCCTGGTACCAACCAGAACCTAATCTACGTCTGTAGGGCGCTTGGGGGGTAGGAGATACTAGAGTGTGGTTTTCCGCCTAATTTCCGAAGGCCTTCGGGAGGGAAGGGTGTAGGGATGGGGGGATGATGGATAGAAGCTGGGAGGAGGACATCCAGCTAGAGGAGGATACCTAGGGCACAGTAGTAGGTACATGAGGGTAGAGTAGGTACATGGTGAACTTGCATGTACCGTACGTGTGCATTGTACGTGCTGTATGTGCATGTATGTAGGTACTGCTCCTAGCAATGGAGGGATTGAGTGGACGGAAAGAAGCAGGAGTGATGAAATTCTCTACCTTCTATGATGTACCTCAAACTACTACTAGGTATTACTACACTCAACTCTCTCTCTCCCGGGAAAGAGACGCAGCTTGTAGATAAGCGTTAAGCGTGGCAGTCACGCGTCCGGCAATCTGGGTAATTTGGACCAACGACGTCGACCTATGTACCGCCGTACTCTAGAGTACGGGTCTACATGCACGATGCGTTCGAAGCGGTACTGTGGAAGCGGTTTTGGGGGGTTTCACGGTTGCAATTGGCTATTGGACAGAGAATAAGAGTACATACAGGCAGGTTATGTATGTAGGTATCTTCAATTCCGGAACGCTCCGCCGCCCATCCCTCCCTCCCCTCACCCCGGCTACATAGCTGAGTTAAACGGCGTTGGAATTAAAGGAAAACCCGGGTTTTTATTTTCATCGTCATTTTTTTTTTTTTTTTTTTTTATTAAACGAGACATCAACGTCGTCATGTATATATTACTCTTCAGGATGAAACGGCAGTTGGGGGGGGCCGCCTATGAAAAAGGCACATCTGTAATTGGTAGACGAGCGCCGAGTACCTAGGCAAGGCAGGAAGACAAGACAAGGGTTGGATTGGAAAGGATCGAAAGCGCCGAATCAGAAGAGACTGGGAAACATCGTGTGCGGGACGAGTGCTCTTTGGTGATGCTTTCCTTCCTTCCCTTCTGCGCCCC